AAATTATTCAGCATTTGCTGTGGAGGACACCGACTAGCCATTGGTGCAGAAAAATAATGCTAGTCCCTAAATCACAGTGCAGGCTCTAATGAATTCCAAATGGATTAAGGAGTTTAATGTCTTGATACAGTTCATAAATATTTACCAAAGACAAATTTTACAAACAAGAAAGACCAGGCCATCAGGAGGCCACTAGGACAGATCCCAAGCACGTCACCCATGGTCGCTCTGGCCGGCTGTGACCTAGCGCTGGATTCTGGTGACGCCAGTGGGATTGGGAAGATGTCGCATAGAGAGAGCAGGGTCCCGTCACAGCTACTCCAGCACCAGGGAAGAGCCCGCGCCCCTCCTCTCCTGCTCTTGTCTGCTGAGCAGAGCCACCAGGCAGTGGCATTGGGCTTTGGCCACTCCCTTCGTGACAGCAGCCTGTGCTGGCTGCCTGCTCACCTTCTGAAAAGCCTGAGTGAGAACTACGTAAGCATGAAAACGCTTCGGACCCAGCATCTATGGCAGATGCTGAGATAGAGAGCCAAGGGTTCACAGAACAGGTGGAGAGGATTTCTGAGAAGGCAGGACAAAGGGGGCAATAATTAGATCGTCTGTGCTGCTACCCTGAGCATTACGGGTCAGAATTGGAGGGGAGTACGGGGAGAGTCGGCTTAAGTCCCTGTCTCTGTCTCTGTCTCTCTCTGTCTGTGTCTCTGTCTCTCTCTGTCTGTGTCTCTCTCTCTCTCTCTCTCTCTCTCTCTCTCTGATGGAACTAGGATGTCACCTGATAGATATGCTCTGAAGTGCGGCACCTGGTCGGGTAAAACTGCCACGGATTCCACCTTTCAAATGTTTCTATTTTAATTGACATTGCCACCACAGCACAGGCATCAAAGCCCTGCTTGCACAACTGGCTATTTAATTACCTCTTTGATAATGTCAGGAATGCACTAAAAAGGAGCTCTGAGCAGAACTGGAGTGAGGTGAGCCCTCCCGGAGGACATGTGAGAGTCCAGAATGGGAAAGCAGGAACTAAACAGGTGAGCCGGCTCAGGCAGGAGGAAGCCCAAGCTTAGCCGGTTGAATGGCTGGAAAGGCACATCGTGTGGGGCACTGGAGAGTGGCCATGGACAGAAAGAGCCTGTCGTGTGTGGGGGCAGCAGCCAGAAAGGTCCATAGGCCCTGTTGAGGGTGTTCATCTCCATCCCCAGAGAAATGAAAAGCTAAATAAGATACATTAACAGGTCTTTCTATGCAGGAGCGAGGGATATGGCAAAGTGCAGAGGCAGAAAGACCAGGGAATACCCTAATGACATAAGATTAAAGAAGATGATATGAGAAAAAATGATGATGTGGGTGATCAAAATATGACAGAGAGAGAGAAGGAGGGAGGGAGGGAGGGAGAGAGAGAATGAGAGAGAGAACAAATGAGAGAGAGAGTGCACAGGACAGGACAGGATGATGGACAGGACAGGAGAGATCAGAATCCAGTAAGGTCCAGAAAGGTCCAAAGAAGTAAAGAATATTTCAGTGGTGAGCTGAAGGAGCTCTTCCCTGGCAGTGGTATAGATGGCCCTACAGCCCCTGGGCCAACCGATGAGCAAAACATGGTACCATTTGCCATTCACATAACCCCTTGTAGAGGGACCAGGCTTGACAGAAGGAGCCCAGGACAGACCCAGAGCATGAGTCCAGCTTTGGACTCATGGCTTCACTTGGAAGTGTCTATGAGAGAGCTTGGAAGATAAGAATGAGGCAGTGGAGTGCTTGTCCCTGAGCTCAGGAGAGTGGACTAGGCTGGCGACGCCACACGAAAGCAAAGAAGGCCGGTTGTGCTCGGTGCCGAGAGACCAGGGAGAAGAAATCCAAGCATCATTTTATTTTTTTTATCTTTGACTTTAATATTTTTTCCCATAATTTTACTGAAAAACAAATAGCAGTGAGACAGTTTCAAACCAAATTGGTAGGACAGTTTCAATAATTAACACATTGCATACATTCTTCCTAGCGGTTCATTGCTGTACAAGGTGCGGGCCTGATCCAAGCATCGTGTTAAAGTGGGACAGATATTTCCCAGCTGTGGGGCTGCGTGCAAGCATCGGTGGCTGGAGGACAAGAGAGGAAGCTAAAGCACGGTGGACAAGATGTACTATTCATTGAAGATACAGAATGGATTTGTGTGAGGTGATCATTTTCATCTTTATGCATTTTTCAAATTCTAGAATAATCAAAAGAAAAGATGAGAACTGTGGGACCAAAAAAACCTGATACAAAATTCAAAGGAAGGAATGCTTCTTTTCACAATCAAGCCAACTCCCGAATAAAACGTGGCTTTACAATTCCAAAACAAATAAAAATACACGCTAGATGTAAGAAGACTAGAAAAAGAACCCATGTACACTGCATTTTCAAACAGAAAAGCAGTTACGTGTATTTTCACATACTGGATGGAATCATTGTGCGTTAGTAGGTGACTATTTTGTTTATAAAGAATTTGTAATAAGGAAAAGTGACGGGATCAAGCTATTCAGCTTTTCGCTCCCACCAATCCTCCATCTACTACCTTGGCGAGGCCATGAGCTACCCACCTAGCTAATCAAGCATCACTTCTGCTGTGTCTGGCTTTGTTGCTGCAACACACCAGCATTTGAATCCGTAGGCTAAATAGGAAGGCCTTCCCAAAGTGCCTGGGCATCCTCCAGCCTCTTGGAGAGCCTGAACAGAGCAAAGCAACAGAGCAAAGTGGAATCTGCCCTCCTGCATCTGACCACTGAGCTGAGACACCTGTCTCTTCCTGCCCTCAGCTCCCCTGGTCCTCAGGCCTCCAGGCTCACATGGAATCATCACTATTTCTCTCTTACTTTTAGGTCTTTAAACCAAGCCACCAGCTCTCTTGGTGCTCCAGCTTATAGGCAACAGCTCATGGGATTTCAGCCAACATTATCCCATGAGCCAGTATCTCATAATAAGTAGATAGATACATGACAGATAGATAGATAGATAGATAGATAGATAGATAGATAGATAGATTTTATATATGTCTTAGTCACCTTCTTATTGTGCATACTCAATACCCAACACCAACCAATGAAAGAAGGAGGGGTTTATTCGGCTCACATTTCAATCCACAGTGCCAGCCCCAAGGCAGGATGGCATGGCAGAGGGGCATGGCAGAAGAGAGGTAGTCACTTCATGAGAGACAGAAATCAGAGAAAGCAAGACCGAGAGAGAGAGGCATAGATCCACCCTCCTGCCCTGTGACCCCCAGGACCCACCTCATCTGAGCAGGCTCTTAATGCGGGACCAGGCCAGCTGCAGCACCCCCATAATCCAATCATCCTCCACAAGCCCTCCTCTGGAGTACATGGGGTTTGGGGACATCCAGATGTGAGCGATAACAATGTGTATTCATATAATTGGTTTGGTTTCCCTGGAGAGCACTGGACCATACAGATTTCTGTCATAGTTTAGGCTGTTGCAACAAAATACCATAGATGAGGTGGCTTTAATGACAGATGACTTTTCATATAGTTCTAGGAGGTAAAAGTCAATGACCAAGGCAGACTGGGTGCATGAGGATGGCCTGCTTCCTGGTTTGCAGGTAACTATTTTCTTGTATCTTCATACAGAGGAAAACAGGGAGCATGACTCTCTCTTATATCTCTTCTTATAAGGGTGACCTTGTGAACTGACTACCCCTGAAAGGCCACACCTCTAAAAATGATTCTACTGGGGATTTGGTCTTCAACACAAAGATCTAGGGAGAGTCCAGATGTGATGGCAAATGCCTATAATCCCAGCACTGGGGAGGCTGAAAAAAGGAGGGTCACTATGAGTCTGATCTGCATAGTGAGACCCTGTACCAAATACATTAAAAAAAAAAAAGATTTAAGGAGATGCCTTGTGTGGTGGCACATGCCTATAAACACAGTGACTAGAGAGGATGAGGTAAGAGGATAGAAAGTTCAAGACAAACCCAGGTGACTGTATTAGTCACTTTCCCACCAGTGGGAGGAGCTGACCAACACCTACAAATTAAAGAGGACAGGTTTATTCAGGCTCACAGTTTCCGTGGGTGCAGTTCATCGACACATGGAATCAGGCCTCCAGGCTCACATGGAATCATCGCTATTTCTCAGCCCCAAACCAGAAACTGCATGGTAGCAGGACCTGGTTGGAGCAAGACAGCTCATGTCATTGCAGCCAGGAAGCAGAGCAAGAGGAGAAGAGCGAGGGACAAACACACACCCTTCCAGGTCCCAGGGACCACTCTTTCTGGCCATGTTCCACCTGTGAATAGCACAATCAGCGATGAGTACATGAGCGGACTGACCTATTGCTGGGCATAGTGCCGCCATGATCCAGTCACCTCCAAAGCTCCACCTCTGAACACATGAGACTGGGGAGGTCCTGGTCTTAGATCTAAGTCATAGTAACAACTTCATAAGACCTCCCTTCAAAATAAAAGTGTGAAAGGGGTGAGAATGGAGCTTACTGTGAGACCTGGGAGAGGGGGTGGGCACAGGCAGTCGGTAGTACCTTCAGAGTACACTCATTACATCATTTCATTCCCCCCTTTCTGCTAAGTAATAATACTGCATTGTTTCCCCTTCACACTTATTTACCTATAAATTTTCAAATAGTGTTTTAAAACTCTTGAAAAATATTATTTTCTCAAATCAAGAATAGTGATGTGTCCAGAATAAAATACGATCGTGGCTATACAAGAGGGTTCTATAAAATTCTGCTTTCATTGACCATGACCTAGTTCCAACTGAAAGTCTGGCATCTGAGGGAGAAAAAAAACCTGATTCATTAATCTCTTTTCAAAATTCTATTTAAATTATGCTCTCAATGTCCCATTCTCATCAATTCAGAGGGAAAAAAATGCAAATCAGTAATAAATATGAAAAAATGTTCAGCACTCAACTAATCAAGGAAATGCAAATAAAACAACAAGGCAATATCTTTCATCTATCAAATTTACAAACGCTTTCTAAATGCCAATACTGATGTTGGCCAAGGTGAGATACAGTTCATATAATAGGACTTGTGGTAGCACAAAATGAAAAATATTGTGGCAAATAGAGGAAAAGCCTTACAACATCAAGCCCTTTGACCTCATAAATTGTCTCCTAGAAGTCTTATAAAAAATAATGTGATCAAAGGTTTATGAGCAAAAAACATCAAGGTAGCACGCTAGCAACACAAACTGGCCACATACTGCAGCTGATGTTGGTTCACAGTTTTCAAGCTGGGGTCCGCAGAGCCCTGGCATTAAATGAAGGGGAAGTGGTAAAGCTAGAATGTGGTCCCACAGTTAGGACTCTGAGTCACACATTTCTGCTTTTAATCTACTTTACATGTTGAGTTCCAGTGAAGATTCACAATTTTTAAAAATAGTCTACCGGGCTAGAATTTAAGATGTATGAAGAACCTACCAAGGTCCAGAAGTGACTGCCAAGCTCCTTCTCCAGTCTCCATCTTCAGTTCGCCTGCCTCCACCATGTCCATAAGGGTGACCCAGAAGTCCTGCAAAGTGCCCACCTCTGACCCCCGGGCCTTCAGCAGCCTCTCCTACACCAGTGGGCCTGCTTCCTGCATCAGCTCCTCCAGCTTCTCCAGAATGGGCAGCAGTGGCAGCTTTGGGGCGACCTGGGGCTGGGTGGCTATGGCGGGGCTGGTGTTGTGGGTAGCATCACAGCCATCCAAGTGAACCAGAACTGGCTGAACCCCCTGAACCTTGAGGTGGACCCCAACATCCAGGCCGTGCGTATTCAGGAGAAGGAGCAGATCCTGAACCTCAACAACAAGTTCGCCTCTTTCATCGACAAGGTTCGGTTTCTGGAGCAGCAGGATAAGGTGCTGGAGACCAAGTGGAGCCTCCAGCAGCAGCAGATGTCCCAGAGTAACACGGACAACATGTTCAAAAGCTACATCATCACTGGGCCAGGAGACGCTGAAGCTGGAGGGGAGCTTGGCAACACGCAGGGGCTGGTGGGGACCTCAAGAATAAATATGAAGATGAGATCAACAAGCATACAGAGATGGAGAATGAATTTGTCCTCATCAAGAAGGATGTGGATGAAGCTCACATGAACAAGGTGGAGCTCAAGTCATGCCTGGAAGGGCTGATGAGATCAACTTCCTCAGGCAGCTGTATGAAGAGGAGACACCTGAGCTGTAGTCTCAGATCTCAGACACTTTTGTGGTGCTGTCCATGGACAATAGCTGCTCCCTGGACCTGGACGGCATCATCGCCCAGGTCAGGGCCCAGTATGAGGAGATCGCCCACTGCAGCCAGGCCAAGGCCGAGAGCATGTACCAGATCAAGTACGAAGAGTTGCTGACTCTGGCTGGGAAGCACAGGGATGACCTCCACCGCATGAAGTTTGAGATCCCTGAGATGAACTACAGCATCAGCTTCCTGCAGGTGGAGATTGAGGCCTTTAAAGGCCAGAGAGCATCCCTGGAGGCAGCCATCACTGATGCCGAGCAGCAAAGGGAGATAGCCATTAGGGATGCCAATGCCAAGCTGGCCCAGCTGGAGGCTGCCCTGAAGAAGGCCAAGCAGGACATGGCTTGGCAGCCATGAGTCCTGGAGCTCATGAACATCAGGCTGGCCCTGGACATCGAGATCACTACCTACCATAAGCTGCTGGAGGGCGAGGAGAACAGGCTTGAGGCTGTCCTGCAGAAGGCCAAGCAGGACATGGCCCGGCAGCTGTGCAAGTACCAGGAGCTCATGAACGTCAGGCTGGCCCTGGGCATCGAGATCGCCACCTACCGCAAGCTGCTGGAGGGTGAGAACAGCCTGGAGGCTGGGATGTGGAACTTGAGCATCCACACAAAGACCACCAGCGGCTATTCAGGAATGGTGAGCTCCCCCTATGGGGGCCTCACAAGCCCTGGCTTCACCCGCACCAAGTCTGCTGTGGTTGTGAAGAAGATCAAGACCTGTGATGGGAAGCTGGTGTCTGAGACCTCGGATGTCCTGGCCAAGTGAATGGGCCACAGCAGCCTTTCCAGCCCGCACCTCTCCCATGGCTGCCCCAGAGCCCGTGGGGAGACAGCTGTACAAGGGAGCACTGGGAGCAAGAGACCCACCTGAGGCTCAGCTTAGCCCTCAGCCCACCCTTGGGGGGACATCACTGCCTGCAGTACCCCTTCTTGCCCGTGCCCTTCACCAAAACCCAATTCAATTGTTTTTTCCAAAATAAACCCTGGTTTTTCCACCTGAAAAAAAAAAGAACCTATCAATGAGTCATGTGCTCTCAGACTCTCAAAACCAAGCACAGTGCTTGGCTCGTAGTGGGCATTTGATGAACAGATGATGCTTACTGTGGATTTAAGTATTTTTCCTGATGAAAAACAGGTTTGACAGACTACAAAATCAGCATTAAAAAATCAGTAGCTTCCTCTATACCCCAATAACAAACTAGCTGAGAAAGAAATCAAGAAAATAGTCCCAGTCACGATAACTTGGGAGCAGGGGATAAACTTTAGGACTTGGCCTAGCCAAAAAGATGAAAAACTTGACTATGTTTAGATCAAAAATATTCCCCCCAAATTCCTATGTTTAGAGGCAGACCTGAGCTGAAGAAGAAGAAGAAAAAA